TGAACCCGGGCCACCTGCATTGGAAGCCTGAAGTCTCACCCATTGGACCACCAGGGAAGTCCCTACATCCTTTTACTCTTAATTATCTGTGCCTTTGAATCCAAAGTGTGTCTCTTGTAGATAGCATATAATTGGATCGTATATTTTTTAAAATCCATTTTTCCAATATCAGTCTTTTAATTGGAAAATTTTAATCCACTTATATTTAGTGTAGTATATGGTAGGGGTTATATCTACCATTTTGCTTTTGGTTTTTTATATTTCTTATGTCATTTTTGTTTGTTTGTTTCTCAGTTGCTCCTTTATTGTGGGAGAAGAAAAGAGTTACAAACAAATATACATTTATACTATCTTTTGTATTTTCCTCTGTAGGTACCTTTGCCAGTGCTATTTATTTTTTTCATGTGGATTTGAGTTACTGGTCTAATTTCCTTTTTTTTTTTTTTTCAGCCTGAAGGACTCCACTAGTATTTTTTGTAGAGCAGAATTGCTAGCAATGGGTTTTCAGTTTTTGTTTATCTGGTCTTAATTCTTCCTCCATATTTGTGGATAGTTTCAGTGATTATAGAATTTTTCTTTCAGACCTTTGAGTATGCCATCCAATGCCTTCTGGCCTACATAGCCTCTGATGAGAAATAAGCTGCTAATCTTATTGAGGATCCCATGTACGTGATGAGTTACTTTTCTCTTGCCTCTTTCAGGATTGTCTCTGTCTTGTCTTCTGATAGTTTGATTATGATGTGTCTAACTGTGGATCTCTTTGTGTTTATCATACCTAGAACTTGTTAAGCTTCTTGGATGTGTAGACTAGTCTTTCATTCAACTTGGAAAGTTTTGGCCATTATTTTTCTGGGTATTATTTATGCCCCTTTCTTTCTCTCCTCTCTTTCTGGGATTCCCATTATTTGTATGTTGTATACTTGATGTTGTCCCACAGGTCTTCTAGGCTCTGTTAATTTTTCTTCATTACTTTTTCTTTCTGTTCCTCACATTAGATAATCTCAATTGACTTATCTTCAAAATCACTGATTTTTCTTCCACCTGTTCAGATCTGTCTTTGAGCTCCTATTGAAAGTTTCATTTCAGTTATTGTACTTTTCAACTTCAGAGTTCCTATTTGGTTATATTTAAAAAGTAATTCCTATCTCCTATTTATAATCTCTATTTGGTGAGCCATTGTTTTCATACTTTCCAGTTTTTTCTAAAACATAGTTTTTCTTTACTTCTTTGAACATATTTTGAATGGCTGATTTAAAGTCTTTGTCTAGTAAGTCTAGTATCTGGATTTCCTCAAGGTCAATTTTAATTTATTTTTATTATTTATTTATTTATTTATTGGCTTCACCATGCAGGTTGTGGGATTTTTAGTTCCCTGACCAGGGATCAAACCCAGGCCCTCAGCACTGAGAGCACAGAGTCCTAACCACTGGATTGCCAGGGAATTCCCAGGGTCACTTTTTATTGACTGTTGTTTTTTCCCCTGCATATATGTATGGGCCATATTTTTTTGTTTCTTTGCATGTTTTGTAGTTTTTATTGAAAATTGGACATTTTAAATGATATAACATGGCAACTCTAGAAGTCATATTCTCTCCAGAGTTTGTTGTTATAGCTGTTTTGTTGTTTGCATATTGAATTTTCTGAACTAATTCTGTAAGGTCTATATTCTTTGTTGTGTGTAGACACTAAGTCTCTGCTTGATTAGCTTAGTGGTCAGTTAACTATTGAATAGAGGTTTTGTTAAATCATTAGAACCAATGAGTCGCCCAGTCTTTGCTGAGAGGATATCTGGGACTATTTTAGAGTTATTTGCTGACATGCAGGACATGCAAGCTCCCAACCACTGTGGAACACTGATGACAAACCAAATTAACTGCACAGTCTTCAGCAGCTCCCACATCCTCAAACCTGGGAGGACCATTTGAAGCATAAATGGAGCCAGCTTTTCTAGGGTCTCCTCTCTCTGCTCAGTGAGTCCCTTGTAGCTGCTGTCCTGATTTCTGGTGGTTGCTCCCCACTGGAGTCTCCCTTTGTTTTATTCAGTGGAATTTCTAATGCCTGTTCCTTCATCCCCTCTAGTTTAAATGCAGGCTAAATATTCCCCACTGCTTCCCCAGCCCTGAAGAAATTCAGAAAGCTTCCCCCAGCCCTGTCAAGAAATTCAGAAAGCAACCTAGTGAAGGTTTTGAGGGACCATTCTTCAGAGGAGATAAAAAGTTTCATTCCCAGCCCCTACCTAAGGCCCACCTTCAATCCTTGCTCCCATTCTTACTACTTTCTTCTCCACCCCAGATTAGGGCCTTTGGAGTAACCTTTCCTAGGACCCAGTGTGAGGTACAGTCTCTCACTCCAAATGAAATAATACCTGTTACCGAAGCAGACTGAAAATTTGTAGATTTTAACTTCTTTTAGTATAGCCTGGGCTCCTAGCCCTATGTTCCAGTTTCCATTTTTCTTAGAGAATTTCCTATAAATAATATTTGGAACCAACTAAAACACCACCTTTGAAAGAGTTCCATGTAACACTAGTGGGTCCTGGCCTGCAGGATCCAAGAGTTTCTGGCACTGATGTGGCTCAGGGCAACTAACAGATCGTTCCTCAGAGAAGGAACGATCATAGATTTTCACAGCCCTCTGTGTTCATGGGCCAAGTCAGCGATGATCTAAGAATGATTGGATTGTGGCACCTAGGAATTTTCTATGTGAGGGACCCAGCAAAGTTCCAGTTAGAGAATGACCTAGGGAAGAACCTGAGGCATAGCCTGAGAAAAGGCCCCAAATTTAACCTGTCAAGAAATTCAGAAAGCAACCTAGTGAAGGTTTTGAGGGACCATTCTTCAGAGGAGATAAAAAGTGACTTGAGTCACTCAGGGAATGGATCAGGAAATGACCTATCAATGTGTTTAAAAGAGAACCTAGACTAGAAGCAACTGGAAAATGTCCTGAAGGTTTACTTGGGCAAGAAGCTGGGGCAGACCTATTAGAATGGGATCCCTATAGATATGTATTGTTCATGGCTTGCTGCCAAGTATACTCTACCCCCTCCTGGAAATTCTTATAGCCACTTGGAAACTGGATATTTGGTTTACTCAGTGAGTCAAGAACACTGCCTGAATACCTCTTGGAAGCTTTCCTTCCTTGATCTAGGCATTAGACAAGCATTAGTAAGCCCAGATTATATGGTTTGGGGTATGGTAGAGGTAGAGCTTACCTCTCAAACTCCTTGAATCCATAAAACTGTTTAGTTTATAGAGACTCAGTCATGGCCCCTTCCTCAGTCCACCCTTCTCTCTCAGCCACCCAACTGTGCAGTTGATTTTGTTTGTTTGAGGGATGGCTAAGCCAAGGTTGCTTAGATGTTTGAAAGAAATCCCGAGGCAGGATGAGGTACAGGCCGATCATAGTTATTATATAAATGAACAAATGATTGTCATAGTACTGTCATACAAAATTACCCCCTGATACACATACAACTACTATAAAAGGATTCAGGGGCTTGATCAAAGTGAGATAACCTAATAAAGACCCCATTCCCCAGGACCTGGCTGAACCAGACTTTCCCCCAGTTTCTTTACTATCTTGATTTTTATATAGGGGTGTGTGTGTGTGTGTGTGTTTAAGGTTACACAGGTATTAAAGGACCACAAATCCCGCATCCAAGAATGATAAGGCTCAGATTGTAGGCAGAGCTGCAAGGCCAACTTCAGGGCTTTCTCATTGAAGTGCCCCTGGCCTCTAAGGTCTCATAGTCTATCCCCAGAAAGTACTCGGTGGGGACATGATAATTTCCCAGATCCCAGATCCTCTGTGTCCACAGGGAGGCCAGAGGGAGCAATTTGGCCCAGCATACCTAGATCCCAAAGCTTCAGGCCTCAGGAAAGAGCTAGGGTAAGAATTTAGCCCTGGGTAAAGAGAGGAACAACTCTAGGAGACCTGGAATAGGAAAACATTGAGTAGAGGATGAAGGATTAGGGATCTCCCTGCCCAGGCTGGGGAATTAGCAGACATCCTTTTGAACAGAAACCCCTTGGTTTCTGCACTGGAAGGAACAGGCTCCACCCAAAAATACCTTGAATAAAAGAATGAGCTTTTTTCATTGGTGTTGTCCCAGGATAAAAAACAAGGGCAGGAAGATCCCTGTTAAAAGCCTAGACCTTGTGAGCCTCTATGTGGAGCCCAGGTACAGGTGAAGGCAGAGTTGTCTTCATAGCACTGGGGACACTGAAATTCAGTAGGGCATGGCTGTCATGGGCCTGATCCTGGAAAAGAATCTGGGAGGAAAGTCAGCACCAGGAGAAAGTCCAGGCCCAGGCAGAGCCTGCAGATGAGCATTCCTGTGACTTCAGGGCTCCTCCCTACCCAGATCCCAGGAAAGTGACAAGGGCATCATGCAGTCAACACACAGGCCCTGAGGACCAGTGTCTCAGCAGGGACAGTCAATTAAAAGACCTGGACAGACATCCCTGGACAATTTACTTAAGTATCAGTAACAGTGTTCATGTCTCACAGGAATCCTGTGTCTTCAGCCAAGCCCTGCTAAGCATGGGCCAAGGATGCCAGGTACCTCCAGCCGCCCTCTCCACTTGCCTCAGGCTCTGTCTTTGGGAATGTGTCTCTTCTGGTCAGCCAGAAAGTCCTCCTCCATCCCTCCTAGGAGGAAAATTTCTCTTAAAGGAAAATTCCAGTCCATGTAGAGAAAAATCTATTGATTCTCATGCTAGCACATCCTTAGAGGATAGTCTCTATTTCTCATAACCCAGGATATTTATTCTTTCCAAATATTTTTTGTTTCCTCTAATAGCTGAGTGATATCTTCTGTCTTTGCTGTGTTTTGGGTGTACATTTTGGAAATTCTGGGAATCTGGGCTTAGAGGAAGGAAGGAGTTAGCTTCACCTTATATCGAGGGCTGGTTGGGCTTCTCAAAGGTGAGCGGGGCTCAGGAGGGAGGCTGTCAGTGCACATCCACCCCTATCACAGGTTCGTTGCTCCTGCTCAGATTCCATAGTTTTAAAATACTTTATTTTTTCCATAATACTGTCATTACAAAAAAATACAAAAAAACTACTATAAAAACATTCAGGGGCTTGTCAAAGTGAGAAAGCCTAAAAACCCCACCCCAGAACATGGCTGAAGCAGTCTTGCCCTAGCTCCTTCACTGTTTGATCTTTACACAATTATGGGAGTGAGGTGGGGTCACACAGGCATCAGAGGGCTAGAAATTCCCCCGCAGCCTCCATGAAGGGTAAGAAATAAGTAGCTTCATATATCACAGAAATGGGATTTGGGAGTTTAGGGGTGGCTAGGCCCTGAGTTCAGAGGTGTGGGGAGAAACCTGTGACCCTGAATCTCTTCGTGGGGAATAGCTGCCACCTGACCCAAAGCCCTTTCCCTTCCTGATGAAGGCTAGGAGACAGACCCTGCCCTCCACCTCTTAGACTTAATACAGCAGCCCCCTCCCCTTCCTCTACCCTTGCACACTATTAAGAGCAGCAGGGACGACAGTACTTCCAGCTCTGCAGAGTCTGGGCAGGGGAGCTGTCAGGGAGGCTGCTGAGGGCCCCTTCACCTCCCTTTCCCAAATGAAAAGTGTCTCGTGCTCAATGGCCCGGTTCATGGGTCATGGACCTTCCCTTCCTATCTCAACCCTGGAGAGGCACACACAGCTCTAGGTGTGTGCTTTGTGTGCATGAATATGTGTGTGATAACCTTGGACAATGTGGACTTGGGGGTGGGACTGGGGTGGGAAAGCAGTGTCCTTTTTATCCTCTTCCTCCCCCAGTAGGCGGAAGCTGAAGGGAAGGGAAAGGAGAGGTACTAGCAAAGCTGAGAGGGGAAGGAGGACATGCTATTTACAGGCGTGGACAAGGAATCTCTATATCTTCAAGTAGCACTCAGGTCACTCTCCAGCCACTGGAGTGGGAACTGGATTCAAAGCTTGTGACATGAAAATTAACCCCTGGCCTGGGCTAGCTCTCCCCACCACCCTCCCACTCCCCCAAGGCAGCCCAGCTCTGAAAGGGGTCAGGGACAGGAACATTTTCCTGAAAACCAGTGGGTTTTTTTTTTGTTTGTTTTGTTTTTTGCATTTAGAAAGAGTTGCTAGTGTCCAGTGGACATCAAGCTGGGTGCACAATGGGTAGGGTGAGTGTGGGGCTATTGCTGTGGAAGGCTCTGGGATGGCTGGGGCAGGGCCTAGGAGCATGGTAAGTGCTGCTTAAGGATCTGTCTTGTCTGTGGTGTTAATCTATCTGGGAAGCGAACTTTGAACTCGACAATGAGGTCTCCCCGCTGGGTGGGCACCTTGGGGAAGGGAAGGCCCTCCCCACGGAGTCTCTTCACGGTGCCTGGCTTGATGACATCATTGCAGGGCAAAGGGATCACTCGGCCATCAATGGTGGGAATGTTCACGGTACAGCCACACAGTGCCTGGGGAAAATGAGACAGAAAGTGAGGAAAAGGAAGGGTAGAGTGATTGGGAAGGGAAGAAAAGAGAAAGTGGGGAAAGAATGTCTCCATCACCTCCACCCCCCACCTGATAAAACCACACACAATCTGATCCAGGCCCCACCTCCTTGAGGCTGATCAGGGCACTGTAGAGCACGTTGGTGCCATCTCGGCGGAAGTGTGCATGGGGCTTGTCTTTGAGCACAAAGACGATGTCAGCGGGGATGTTGTCAGGTGTGGCATCGCCCTCTTTCGGGAAGGTGATCTTGGTGCCTTCCTTCCAGCCACGCTTGATGACAATGTGCAGGATCTTGTCCTCGGTGCGTACAGTTCGCCCGTCAGGGTTGAGGCGCCGCCTTGTGATCTTCATGCGTTTGGTGGAGCCGTGGTAGATTTCCTCCAGGGACACCCTCAGCTCATGCACCACAGGTGGGTCCTGCACCTTGCGCCGAGAGTACAGTGGTTCTGGGGCTCGCCTTGGACCCCTACTCAGCCCATTGAACCCAAAGCGGCCAAAGGAGCCAAATGGGTCCTCATCTTCATCCACGTCCATGTCATCTGGGTCAAAGCCACTGAAGGGACGAGTGGACCGAGTGCTGGCAAAGAAGATATCAAAGGGGTTGGAGCCGCCAAAGAAGGAGGCAAATGTGGCGTGGGGGTCCCCATGAAAGGTGTAGTGAAAGGAGCCACTGGAGCCGCCTGATGAACCGCCGCCGCTCTTCAGGCCTGGAGGGGGAGAAGTTAGGGGCAGTACGGCTGGCCTCTGCCCCACCGCAGTCTCCTCCCCCTGCCCTCTAGCTCCTAGTTCACGGCCTAGAGGAAGAAGCAAGCTTTAACTCCCACAGAGAGGGCTGGCCTAATAGAGTAAGGAAAATCTCTGGCAAGATTGCTACTCTTAATTATATGTGTAATAATAAGGCACATCTTGAGGTTCAAAGAGGCTGGAAAGCTAAGACTAGAAGACTGGTAAGATGTGACTTCCAGCACTGTAAACTCTTCCATGTACCTGTGACCCAAAGATGTCTCACAGAGCCTTGAATGCCTGGCCTGGGGTCACATTACAAGTCATACCTGGCTCCCATATCTTTGCTTATCTCCAAAGCCAGGGAAAGAGGCAATCAGACAGAATTTGACCATACAGAGAGCTGTAAGTGACCTGTCCCAAATAAGGTGGCAATACAGTCCAGGAGGAAGTCCACTCTCACTCTACTTTTTTCTGTTTGTTTGTTTTTTGCAGTACGTGGGCCTCTCACTGTTGTGGCCTCTCACTGCTGTGGCCTCTCGCGTTGCGGAGCACAGGCTCCGGACGCGCAGGCTCAGTGGCCATGGCTCACGGGCCCAGCCGCTCCGCGGCGTGTGGGATCTTCCCGGACCGGGGCACGAACCCGTGTCCCCTGCATCGGCAGGCGGACTCTCAACCACTGTGCCACCAGGGAAGCCCCCACTCTCACTCTACTTCTAGCATGGTTTCCTCTTTCTCTGACTTGTGCCCAAATGGGAAATGAGGAGGGCCCCAAAAGAGCAGGAAAGATCATTAGCTTGGAGAAGAGGAGCTATTTCTCTACAAAAAGTTTTCAAATGCTTTGTTCCCACACTCAGGGTTCACAGTGTTGCACAGCTCTGGGGGTTTCCATTCACACATTGGACAGACATAGATTGCAATGGGAAGGGAGCTCCTTGGAGTTGTACACCACCAAGCCTTACACCCCATACCTAACGTCAGAGCAGCCAAAAAGGATGAGTGAGCTGGCACACTGCACGTGGTGACCCCAGCTACTCTCTCTGGAGTCAGGTTCTGTCTAAGGGGCTCAGATTTGTGGGGGCAGTCTTCAAGGGGGATGGTAGTGGTGGTGATTGGAGTAGTTGGGGGGCTTGTGTGGGAAGGAGGGAGGAAAGGGATTAACACTGAGAAATGATCTAGAATATATAGACTTGGGGGTGGGGCCCAGGCTTGGGGAAGGGACTCTTCTCTCTGAGGGCTTTATCTAGAATTTCATTGGCTGTGGAAGCCTGAGCCTAAATTAGCCTCTTACTTCCTGGGACCACAAGAGGAGATTTGGGTTTCATTAGAGAGGCCAAGTGGCAAGCAATTCAGTGACTTGAGACAGGTGCCTCTTCACCCTTCCCCTAAGACTCAAGGTCTGTTCTTTCCTTTTATTGAGGGTCTGATTATCAGGTGAGTTCAAGAAGCTTGGCAGAGCTCAGTGAGAGAGGGAAGTTGGACTGATGATGACAGGAGGGGGTGACTTCTCTGCAAGGATTCCTG